TCGTTTCGCTTTAAGTCGCACACTTTAAAAAATACAGCAGTTTAAACAAAACTGTAAAAAATGAATTTTTTCAAATTGAAAATAACGCAAATCCAAATCAGCAGTCTTATTAAGAATCGTTTATAGATGTGTGAACTGAATTTCGTTTCGCTTTAAGTCGCACACTTTAAAAAATACAGCAGTTTAAACAAAACTGTCAAAAATAAATTTTTTCAAATTGAAAATAACGCAAATCCAAATCAGCAGTCTTATTAAGAATCGTTTATAGATGTGTGAACTGAATTTCGTTTCGCTTTAAGTCGCACACTTTAAAAAATACAGCAGTTTAAACAAAACTGTGAAAAATGAATTTTTTCAAATTGAAAATAACGCAAATCCAAATCAGCAGTCTTATTAAGAATCGTTTATAGATGTGTGAACTGAATTTTGTTTCGCTTTAAGTCGCACACTTTAAAAAATACAGCAGTTTAAACAAAACTGTGAAAAATGAATTTTTTCAAATTGAAAATAACGCAAATCCAAATCAGCAGTCTTATTAAGAATCGTTTATAGATGTGTGAACTGAATTTCGTTTCGCTTTAAGTCGCACACTTTAAAAAATACAGCAGTTTAAACAAAACTGTGAAAAATAAATTTTTTCAAATTGAAAATAACGCAAATCCAAATCAGCAGTCTTATTAAGAATCGTTTATAGATGTGTGAACTGAATTTCGTTTCGCTTTAAGTCGCACACTCTAAAAATTACAGCAGTTTAAACAAAACTCTCGAAAATGAATTTTTTCAAATTTCAAGATTTTTAAATTCTGCTTTTACATCGATGTAACATTCGCAGTCGAATGTCCCGAACCACAAGAAACGATTCTAAACACGACTGAGCATGTATATTCGACATATCTTAAAGCTTGTCACTTTTTAAATTTTTCGCTTCAACATCGAAATCGATCTATCTTCGCTTAAAGACTTTGAACGCACTTGAAAATGTGTTTTCAATATATATTAGTGTGAATCTGACAGCTGACTATGAGGAATTAATTTTTTAATACCGAAAATGATAGTACGTCGATCGCTCGCGTCGTTCAGTCGAAAAATCAAAAGTTCAAATTTTTCCCCAAATTGAAAATAACGGAAATCCAAATCAGCAGTCTTATTAAGAATCGTTTATAGATGTGTAAACTGAATTTCGTTTCGTTTGTACTCACACGCCTTAAAAATTACAGTAGTTTAAGAAACCTGTCAAAGATGATTTTCTTCAAATTTCAAGATTTTCAATTTGTTGTATTTTATTGATACAGGTTTCGATTGCAAACGTTCCAAACAATAAGAATTGATTCTAAATACAACTGTGCATGAGTATTGAAATTTTTTAAAGTCGGTCACTTTTTAAATATTTTGCTTCCAAATCGACAACGATCTATCTCCGCTTAAAATTTATTGGCACTTGCAAATATCGTGTTTTTAGTGATGTACATGTGGCATCTGAATTTAAAGAATTTATATTTTAATACGGAAACTATATTAATTAACGCTACGTGCGCGCCATTCTCAATATTATATTAACTTTCAATAATTTTGAACTTTAATAATTTAGAACAAAAATACGTTTGTCCAAATTTTAGAATTATTTTTTTAATATTAGTATTATATTTCTATTATTTATTCTATAGTTTTTAATATTAGTATTATTTTTTCTCAAGTTAGGTTTATTTTTCTCAGATTAGATGTTTTTCTTAATATTTGTTTTTTATATTAGTTAGTCAAAAAAAATAGAAGTCGCTACAAAAGTAATTCCCTCCCGAAAAATAAAAAAAAAATCCGAATGTAACATAAAGAAAAAATTAACTCACATTGCATTAAGTCGATTATCCAAACCTTTCTCCTTTTATACATATATCCACTTTTATATTCCACTGCTGCTCTGCTGTAATCCCATATGGTTTGGCACTGATCACTGCACTGTTTTTTCTTTTATTTTATATTTGCAATAATTATTTCTCGCACTTCACTACACACAGATGCACTTCGAAATAAACGGACGATACGGACGAAAAAATAATATCACTTGCGAATGCATTCGGCACTTTCGAGCATCCCGTTCGATCACGTTCGATATCGCATTTGCGAATAAAAATACGAACAAAATATTTGTTAAAAAAATATACTTTTTCGATTCCGAGAAAGCGAGCGTCCGAGTATTAATTACATTAAACGCATCTAAATGCCCTTAAATTTACTCGTGATGTCTATAGAGATATATCGCGACATCTCCCGGCGCGCCGCGTTACTTCGTGGAATCGCGAAGGAACTCACTCAGGGGAAGTAACACTTGCGCGCCACGGCAGTTACGCGGAAGCGTCACAAAAGCTCAAGCGAGTGAGGGGCCGCCCCTCACACAGCTCGCCATTCCCCAAATTCACGATGTTCCGCGACTCCCGGGGCCCCGTCGACGCCGGGATACCCTTCAAGACGATTAGGGATCCTCGCGAGGCTCTCGGGGAGCGAGTAGCGTCGAAATAAGCGCGAAAATGACGGCGGAATAGTTTCAAACGAGAAACGTCCTCCATCCCCTTCCCACCAATCTCCGATTCGCGATGTTCCGAGGTCCCCATCGAGGCCCGGATGCTCTTCGAGCATATATTCGGTCCATCACGTCGAAACACGACACTCCCGGACACTCCCGGACACTCCCGGACTTGCACTCCCGTTCGCGTTACTCGCGCACGAAATCCAAACAAGACGCGGAGCATTCGCGACGCACAGTCTACTCCTTCGCCGCTGGACTTGTACTAACTGGTGGCGGCGCTGGCGGAAGTTCGTGACGTGGTGACGCCACGTCAGAATCGGCCGATTTCATGTATTACTACGCGCGGGAATTTTCAACGCGTAAATAATAAATAATATATAATTAGCAAATGTACATAATTTTAATTCGGCGAATATCAATTATGTACATAATTTTATTATAAGGGAATACATAATTTTAATTCCCGATTTTCTATTATGTACATAATTTTAATTCGTCGAATTTCTATTATGCACACAGTTTTAATTTTTCATTTGTTATTATATATACATAATTTTAATTGCCGTATTTTTATTATGTAAATAATTGAAATTGTACATAATAAAAATTCGATCAATTAATATTATGTACATAATAAAACTTCGGGAATTCAGGTATTAAAATTATGTATATAATAGGAATTCGGCGAATTAAAATTATAATCATATAATAGAAATTGAAGAATACAAATTATGTACATAATAGAAAGAAGATCGAGGACAACAGTTTCAAGTGTTTGAATTAATTTGGTTCAAAATATCTATATATAAATATCTTGATGTTTGAAGCGGCATTAGCGGCCGTATTATTTGTTTATTTATTCCTGTAGATATACTAGTAAATGAATAAATAAATAAATGAATAATGTAATAAGATGACACAAAACACAAGACTTGAATCTATTGTCACTTGGATCTAAATTTTAATAATTGACAGAAAAAGATGAGAATTTCTACAATGTAACATTGTAGACTTGTCTTTTCCAGCTAAATAAAATTAATTTTTTGTATATTGCGTACACATCATTTTTTCTATGATCAGACTGACAATGAGTTATTTGATATACGCAGCAGTAGAATAGATCAAGTTTGATTAATTTAATGTATACTTTAATCAAATCCTATAAATTTATTCTAGAAATATCAAGAACGTTCAGACTAAGAGATAAAGAGTTTTCTATTTAAATAATTTAGAGAGAGAGAGAGAGAAAGAGAGAGAGAGAGAGAGAGAGAGAGAGGAAAAGAAAAAACCAAAATTTTATTCTGTGTTTAATCTTTGTCTAAAAAGAAATTTATTATTAAATATTTATTGTTAAATATTAAAAGTCATGAAACTCTGTGATATAATTGATTAAACTTCTGTAAAGAAAAGATCAATCAAAATCTCGCAAAAAAGATATTTGCTTAAATTAAAAAGATAACAAATTTACAGAAGAATTAAATAAGACTATTATTGTTAAATATTAAAAGTCATGAAACTCTGTGATATGATTGATTAAACTTCCGTAAGAAAAGATCAATCAAAATCTCGCAAAAAAGATATTTGCTTAAATTAAAAAGATAAAAAATTTACAGAAGAATTAAATAAGACTAAACACTCTGTAGATTTTTCTATATTCATTATTTTATTTATTTAATGTGCATATAAACGTTATTTAATAAAAAGTAGAATTACAAAATTATTTTGTTATATATCTCGTAATATTTATATCTTCTTTTAAATTGGAAAATTCTAAGTCATTTTTAAAGAAAAACAAAATATATGAAATTAATTTGCACATCATATATTGTATATAATATGGTTAACATATAGCTGATCGTATGTGAAACAATCGCTTGTTCATAATTCGTATGTTATCAGTATGTTATCATTCGAATCTTTTTATCAAATTCGTTGTTGTAAACGTCATTCATGAATCACTAAATTACGTATCACTAAATCAAATTAAACGTATATTTGATCAAAATTTCGATATTAATTTACTCTATTCGATATCCTCTAATATCAAATTAATTTTAATATTAACGGTTTTTATTATGACTATTATATTATAATGTTTTTTTTTATTATTAATATTATACAAATATTAGAAATTGTGAGTTGGGTATTATTTAATAATAAACTTTTAATATTGCAATTATCAACAAGTTATGTATTATATATATTATAAATCAAGAACTCATGTAAAACATATTATTATGTAAAACATATAATTATGCATATAATATATACATATAATTGAATTTATTAAAGACTAAAAAAGTTAATAATTATTTTATACATATATAGCAAACAATGTCTCATCAATTAAAGAAAATGAGAACAAAAAGAAAAATGATATCAAAAGAAAAGAAATATATTTGTTCGATTAGCGCGAATTATTAGTCGGAAAAACAACGTTTGTTTTTTATGGATTTCTGATAAATAATTTTGTGTTATATTTATAGTATAGAGTTTACGTTCTACATAAGTAAAAAGTTACAACGTGTGTGGCACACGCTTGTGTTTTATTCTAGTGATATAGAAGATTTGCTTTAAAATAATGACTTCAATACATGCTTGCAGTTTGTTTAACAATATAAAAAGTCCTTATATTTTTTGTGGACTACTTCCTTAATATTGATTTATACCGTCCTGTTCTCTTTCTTTGTTTTTCTTTTCTTCTGTGACCTACCCATTTCTCGTATGACCGATAATCTCGCACTAATACTGGTTTTTTGATTTTGTTATCCAGTCAATCAAGTCAAATAATTAATTGTAGCCGTGACCGTGTATGAGCTGCCAACGACCTACTTTTCTTGAGCACATCCCGAACGGGGACGAGTGAGAGGAAAAGGAAAAACAAGGTGGGGAAGTACCGAAAGAAGCAGATATATCCATAGCGAGTTCCACTTTTGTTATCAAATGCCGTTATATTTAATCTTGGTCCACGACTTTAAGATTAACCCATAACGGTCACCGAAATTTCTGTTTCCGCAATGTAGCTTCACAATCGAATAAATGGACGACTAAATGTGTTTTATTTCTTTTTATGAAAAAAGTATATATTTGAAGTATCTTAAGTTGTTATCATATTTCATAAAATATTTTTATAAAGATTATTTCTATACAAAAATTATAAAATGCGCAGCAAATTCGATACAAGAAGCATCGAATTAAACTAATTTTTTTTAGAAATTATTTGGTCAATAACAATTAATAAACACAACGATCTATAAGAGAATAAAGCAATTATATTTCTTGGACATTTTTAATCAATAGTAAACTGAAGTGAAAAAAACTATTTAAATATTTTAACATATTGTATATATTAGTATATCACGATGTGAATGGATTTCGTATTAACATATATTAATATTTTTATTTTTAGAATTATAAAGCTAAAATTTTTAAACACATTGAAATAAAAATTTTAAAAGATAAAATAAATCTATGATGAATAAATGTTTCTTTTTTTTTTATTCTCAACACAATTATATGCATTTACATTACATAATTGACGATTTTTAATCAATAAATACTAATACAAGAATATATTATATATTCTTTTAAAGTTAAAAAGATATATATATATATATATTATATATATATATATATATACTTTTTAACAATATTTTCAATAGCAGCTTGAGATTACAGCCATATCAATCATAATCGTAAAAACCCAACAGTAAAATCATAAAAATTCTTTTTATAGCTTATTTATGATTATGTTGTAAGAGTTCACAAAAAATAAAAGGTTTGATGAATTTTTATTTGCAATCTCTGAATCTGTAATATTAATTGTAATCATGTAAAAACACGAGACTAAAATAAATAAAAATAGATATAAATCTAATTTTGTTACAATAGAATAATAGAAGATTATTTTTCACTTTTTGTCTTATAAGTTTGTGACTGTGTTGCAAGAGCTCGCAAAAAACAAAAAATTTGATAAATTTTCAAAACTTGAATGTAATAAATAGGTATATTTTTCTCGACTCTTTTAAATTTTTTTCTTCGATTTTTATGAAATTGCAGATTGCTTTAGTAAGAATGCGACGTAGCTTTATCCGCATTATCTTTAACACGTAAATCTGACAATGAGTTCATCGCAAACCTGTTAAAGGTATATACATATACCGACCACTTAACCCACTATAAAGAGTACATAATCCTACTTCCCTGCTGTAGATCGTTAACTTACTTCTTAGTTAAAAATAATGGAAAATAAGATCAAATATTCCAGATCAGTATTTGTAACACTTCCAGGCACTCACGTCTCTTATTAGCCTGATAGTCATCGTAATTATTTAACGTATGACCACTTGCCGACTGGTTCGCGTACACAGACTCGTTTCTAACGAACAATAAATATTTGTCAGCTCGTTAAAGTTAGATTGCGTGATGTGCAAAAGAATTTTACGACACTTTCCCGTTATTCAGTTTATGAGATACAGAATTCGTGACTTTTAACTGTCCGCAATTTCCTGACTATCTAAAATTAAAAATTTTAAGAATATATATTCTTGCAATATATATGTATATTTTAATTTAATGAAAAACTAGTTACAATAATTTTATTTAAAATCTCGCATATTTTACCTAATTTTGTTATTGATAAGTTATTTAGTATCATAAACTTTTTAGATTATTGAAATTTTTCTTATAATTATTAGAATATATTTGCCAAATAATCATAGCGATAAAATATTTTTGCTACATAACAACTAATTATAAAATAATCTTATTTCTATTATTTATATCATTTTTATTGCTTTTTATGTTAACTGAATAACGTACTTGAATAACTAAATATATACAAAATAAATACATATATAATTGTGTCATTTTACCATTTATGTGACATTTATTTGGGTAACACAGAAACTTCTAGAGGCATTTTATAACTTGTTATACGATACATTCATCATTAACGTCCAGCTGATATATTCTTGAATGTACAGTATTAGCAATAGTAAAATATGCCGTTGGCGCCATCATCTAACGGTGTCATTAGTCATGCTTTCATTCTTCTGTATAAACATTGACACATAAACTACGGTTCTATCTATTTTCCAATTACAACAAATCGCAGTCTAATGTCAGAATACGATATTTCCTTGTTGTGAACTACAATATATCTTCGTCTAACGATAATTGTAGCGTTCTCATTAGTTGATTAATTAAGTTATACTTACGTTGGCCAATTGTTCGCAAATCAAAGCGGAAACTACTGGCATAGATTCTGGACTTTCGTCATGAAAATTACAAATATGCTTGCCCGCATTAAATAGTGACATTCTTTAATTTTGAAATTTTTCGCTAGTAAAAGTTGAAAGCATCATTAATTTGTAAACAATAAAGCAATAAAAAAATACTCAATAAAATTTTGATTAAGAAAACATAAAATTAATCAAAGAATCACATTTATGCACATCTTGCATTAAAAAGCAATACATATAGAATTTAGAATAAATGCAAAACACTAATGATATAAATATAAAATAAAAGTTATAATATATCTATATTTCTCCAAAGAGATTATTAAACTTTTAAACGTATTTATTAAATAACAAACTAATTATTTAATAATAGTAACATATACACATATATGTACTTTTTGCTATTTTAGCGCTATTAACATCAACTGTAAACAATAATTAATTAGACGATTAACGATTTATATCACGTCTACCTGTAAATAAGCTACATGTGTTATTATTATGATGATCGAGACATGTAAATTGCCTTTATAAACTATATTATATTTTTTCTTTTATTAGTATAAGAATTATTATATAATTTAACATTATTGTTTTTCTTATCAGTATTTTAAATATTGTTTACTTTAATAAATTTAATATCCGTAACTTTTAAATACTTATAAAATTATAAGTAATATAACATGCAAAACATATGACTAATATTTTATCTATATATGTATATTTATTCCCTCATTTCAATTACAGAATTATATAGATTTTGAAAATTATGTCAGTAATTATATCAAATTACAAGAATTCTAGTTTTGCAAATCAAAATCTGTTTGTTTCTCTTCTCTTTTTCTTCTTTCTTTTTCTCTGTCTCTCTCTCTACTTAACTTGCTTATTCCGGACAAACTGACTAAAAAATCCGCTTAAATATTTGAATCTCTCATTTTTTTCGTTAAATAATTAATGTTTTTTTCTCTTTCTCTCTCTCTCTCTCTCTCTCTCTCTTTTTATTTATTTCCCGGTTTTACTGAAATTAAAATATTTGAAGCATGCATATAGACACACACATTATTTATTTACAATATTATACATATATATGTACAATATTATAAGAAATTTATAAACTTTAAAATTTATAAATTTTATTTCTAAAAATTATAATACATTATTTACAGCCATAAAGTTGATTATATAAAGATTTGTTCCATATTTTAAAGTTGAAGTTATGAAGAAAACCACAAAACGTAGTTACGAATAAGTTACATCATTATCTGCATCATTATCATTTCTCAAATGTTTCTCTTAACTCTTTTTCACGTTTTTTCCACATACGGGTATATCTTGCTTATTCCGGTTAAATACATGATAAACAAATATTTAATTCGTAGGAATACGATTGAAATTTTCTGTGACGTAGGCATGAAAATGAACTAATTTGCATAAAAGAAAGTCATAGATAGATTTTTTATTCAATCAGGAGTATACGATGACCTGTATTGTTATTTCTTTTTTCGATTTCAAGGTGACCTTTCATCGAACAATCAGATATTCGAATTTATGTAAATCCAAATAACGGAAGCACCCACAATATGTCACAAGAAGACGATCGCTGGCACTTTTTTTAAAAGTGAAAAGCAAAATCGGTAACATTCGTGCGCGAGACAGCGTTGGATTACATCGACAGGTTCTATTCATATGAGGTAAGTGGAGGACTTCGAAAACGCATTTGTTAACAATAGCAATTTGTTCAAAATAAATTTAAATATTATTAAATAAAATCACGTATCTTATTTCATCTAAAGAATACATAACAATATAAATTATATAACAATATGATTATATAATAAAGAATATATAAAATATTACATATTATATGTATATAAAATAATTACAGAATAGATTATTAATCTTTACATGCATTTTCCCAAACAATGAAATTTTGAGCAAATTTTATTATATTGATGATTCAATGACTAATAATAAAAATCACAAAATATTTTAATAATAAAAATTACAAAAATTTTATTAAAATATGATCTAAAAATCTAAATTAACAGATATAACAAGAATGATTAATAAACTCTTTAAATAAATTGAAGTCGCCAGTGAAAAATGATTAATGTTGAAAAAAAATTAAGAAAATTTTTAATTTTAAATTATATATTAAATTTTATAGATAATATATTTATATATTACGGAAAGAATTTGCGAAAATGACCGTGAAAATATATGTTACGTTAAACGTGCAAATAATACGAGCATTACATTATTTTTATCGTGACACTTATATACAACAATTACAATAATTACAATAATTACAATAATTACAATAATTAAGGCCATTGATAGATGATAAGGATATGTAACGTAGACTTGTGGCTCGTATTATTTGCACGTTTAACGTGACATATATTTTCGCGGTCATTCTCGCAAATTCTTTCCGTGTTCTCCTTTCCTCTGGCACGTTCTTCCACTCCCATCTTTCTACTGCTTTCACGTCTCCCAAGGATCATCGTGTCCCATATATTCACATGTGTTTCCTTTCTTCTTTTCCTTTCCTTATTTTATCAGTTCGCAGTCGACAGCCACCAAATATAGAGCTATACTTTTTGCGTCTACTTACTTTTTTATTTTTTTGTTCCTTATCATCAGCTACTTATTGCTGTTATCGGAAGTGACGAAAATCAACAAGTGCGGTGGGGATCGGAGGATACATTTGTCGAACGGTGATCCTCTTGACGGGCGCTCACCACAAGTGGGCGATCAGTTTTTCGTAGGACGTGTCTCTCTTCTCATCGTATATCGACGAGCAGCGAGACGCTCGTGAAGCAAATCGTATATCGAAGTTTATCCGTTCCTCTTCTTATTTTAATGTGTTGATTTTGAGCAAAGACCACGAGTACCAAAAGTTCCTGCATTTCAAAGTTTGAGAAATAATAACAAGACAATTCAGTGCTCGTTAAAGAAAAAGTGAGTATGCTACGAATAAATGTGAATTTCTCTGTTGTGAACACGAGTAAAAATCTGTGAGACATTTGTATCGATTATTTATTCTTATGTTTGTTGAAATTTTAACACAATAAGAGTTACTTTAGCCATTTATAATGGTGTTCTTATAAGTTAATGTTATAAAATAAATAAATATGATAAATAATACATTATTTTTTTGTTTGCATTACTGATAATGATCAATATTAATAATGTTACAAACCATTCTGTGTGCGATTTATGTGATAAGACAAAATATTTAATTAGATATAGATATATCGCACTTATGAAATTTATGTATTGAGAAATAATATTTTATATCCACGTAAAAAGCGAACTTAAAATATTTTGCCTACTAACTTAAAATATTTTGAACATATTCATTAAATCTATAATATATATACTGAGACACATTTTTTATTATAAAATAGTGAAAAATTAATTTTAATTTTTACTTTACATGAAATTTTCATATTAAAAATATATAAAGAAAAGAAAAAGTAAATGCAAATTTTTTTGATCTGTTGAAAGATATGGTTTAAAGAAAAAGAAAAATGTTCAAATCAATTAAAGAAAAATTTAAGACATATTTATTGAATAAAATATTCTGCGTTCTTATTTCCTATTTCCTACATAGAAAATTTTACATTTATATATATCATGTATCAGAGTTTTTCACTTTATTATTAATAATTTCTTTTTACATTTTCTTTTTAATTCTGTAAGTGTCGACAATAATGAAGTAAAAAGAAACCTTTAAAACTAAACCGTACATGATAAATATAAAAATTTAATAAGTACGTTTTTATATTCATATTTCAGATTCCCTACATCTGAGCACATTACATCACCGACATGGCTAGTCTTATACGAGACGTAGTTAGTAATTATAATGAAGCTGTGAAAAATATTAAAGGTGAGCTTATTAACACTATAAAAGTAACTAATTTTTGAAACAGTATTCTTTTCAAACAAAATTCTTTTAAACAAGATAACATAAATGAACTATCTTAAACGGTCAATTATATTGAAACTTTATAGTTCTATAATTATTTACATAACAATTTTATGTAATTATGAAAACATTAATGATATTCAGTGTGCTTACATCAAATTTCTTTTGTAGTATTATAATATCTTGTTTACATAATTAATTGTATAAATTTCGTATTTGCAAAAAACAAAAGAAAAACAATTTTGTAAAGTATCTTCACAAATATGGATGCAATTTGGACAATTTTAATTACACTTGTCCAAAAAAATCAATTTGTTATCTTAAATTCTTGCAAATATATCTAAATATAATATATGTTATAATATATATATGTATATATATATGTATATATATATATATATATATATATATATATATATATAGTGTGTATATATAATATTTGTTTTTTAAAAAACTATTCAAAAATATTTATTTTAAAAATCATTAAGAAATATCTATTTTCCATTTCGTATTTTAAATAAATGTATGAAGAGCATTTTACATTTTGCATTTGTAAATGGAAAGATTTACAATTATTTTGTATTTTCTATTTTAAATATATTTAAACACCCATTTTTTTTGGATATCCCAGGTATATAACTAAATTGTTAGATAAGCGTAATGTAATCATCATATTACATCATTTGCATATAGTATCTCACTTTATTTTTAAATAGAAAAATTCAATTTGATAAATTAGTTTTTAACTCGGATTTATCCAAAAAAATTCATACATTTATACAAAAAAAACTATTATTATTCATTTAATTAATATTCATCATAAATATTTTATATTTATATTAATTGCATTTTTCCAACGCATATATTATCATATATTTACATCACTTCGATTATCTGATTTAAACTAAAATTATAATTTATGAATAGCGTATAAATAAATGAATAAATGAATTGATATTTGTATTTTAATAATTCATAAATAATCCAAACAGAATCTATGTTCATTATCTGGAGAGAGATATCGGTTTCAGTTCAATTCTCTAACAGACACATGTATATATATAAATAATTATAAAATATGTAAAATTACACTTGTTATTTAAGTAAAATAATAAATATTTTAAATTTGATAATCCAATTAATTTTAAAAATAATTTAAAATTGATAAAAGAATTTGTTTATACATTAACTAATTATCTATTGTACAATTGCTATTAATTAGAAATTTTCGACGCGTTTTATGACTTTTCCAAAAAATAAATGAATCTTTCTTTTATGACAGATCCAGTAATAGACACATGGCCTTTAATGGGATCTCCGGGACCTGTATTATGTATTGTCGGCGTATATTTAATATACGTCTTGAAGGTTGGACCAAAAATGATGGAGAAAAAGCCAGCCTTTCAGCTGAATACCGTTATGATTTTATATAATGCGTTTCAAGTGCTCTTCAGTATCTGGCTGGCAAGTTTGGTAAGTCTTCTGTTATAATTCCGTATCTCTTTGATTAAATGCATAACAAATTTAAATATAATAAGATTTAGTACATATATAATAATCTGTATAACTCACCGATTTCAGACACAACAAGTCGATATTAAAGATTTATTCACTTTTCACGGATGCAATTTGCATTTACCTGATGCAGAAATAAAACACAAACAAGCAGTGGTAGGAATTTTTTCGTAATTGTCAATAATTGTAAATTATTTGATTAAATTTTAACAATTTTCACAGTTAAGCAAAAACACATTAGTAAATAATATAAACACATTTTTTAACAATAATCATATATATGTTTCGGATAGATATCACGATTGGCATGGTGGTATTTCTTCGCAAAAATGATTGAACTTCTCGACACAGTAAGTAAATATATATAAAAATAAAATTAACTAATTAATTATAATAATTTAGTGTTTAATATGTATTAGTTGATTCATAAGGATTTCGTAAGACAATACAGTAGCATTTGTATCGTGCTGCCGTTATTGTTTAAAAGTACACCATTGTTTCGTCATTTAACCGACAAAAGCAGTCGTAACCAACTGTATTTTGAAATACGGATGAAGCGCTTTGTTAAGTCGACTGTCAATAAGTATTTGTCAATTTCATACATTGTCTTAATTATATATCAGTACTTGTAAAAATAGATTGTCTTTAAAAACGTTCTTTTCTTCACACACGTTATCTCAAAAATATCACGTATTATAACATTAGGATAAAATAGAAAAAAAGATTTTTAAAATTTAATGTAACTCCTAATATATTTTTTTTTAAAGATATTCTTCATTTTGAGGAAGAAGCAAAACCAGGTGACTTTTCTTCATGTTTATCACCACTCTTCAATGGCCATTTGGTCATGGTGTTACTTAAAATTTTTACCTGGCGAACAAGGTATTGTCGTAGGATTCTTGAATTCCGTGGTCCACATTATTATGTACAGTTATTATTTCGTCGCGGCACTTGGTTCCAAATACAGAAAATATCTCTGGTGGAAAAAATATATGACTAAGATTCAACTGGTAATTATCTCTCAAATTTAATGTTTTATTAATTGTAAATTGCCAAAGAGTAATTTACAATTATTCAGCAGTATACGACATGTCATTGATCTTATAGATCATCTTATCAATATATCTATTTAAAAATTTTAACATTTTTAATAATAATAGAATTTGTAGTATTATATATTTTAGAAAAAAATTATTTTATATCTTTTTATTAATTCTTTTAATTAATATTTAAATAATGCTAATATTTATACTGCTGAATATCCTTATAGAAATTTATCACTAGTAACGCCAATTTATCACTTATTTCGAGTACTTGATCATTTATTTCAAGTACTTAAATTACTGTATAATCAGTATTTTAAGTACTCGAAATAAGTGATTAATTAGCCGTACTAGTGATAAATTTCTACAAGAATATATGTATTATAATAACTGCTCAATAAATGCTGTTTAATAAAAAAATATGCAAAAGCATTGTTTACATAAATCAGATTTAATAATGGAAATTTTTGTCTTCTATTTTTTCAGCTGCAATTCGTATTAATGTTATTCTATCTACTATTAACATTGGTCATGGATTGCCGATTACCGAAGGCTTTGTCCTACTTCTTTGTAACAAATGTGACAATTTTTATTTATTTGTTCAGCGACTTTTATCGAAAAGCGTATAAAACGAAAACAGCCTAATAATAATTAGAAAATTAATCTCGCAAATAGTCAATAAAAATTCGAATTCGAATGTACTTATATCTAAAGTTTTAAATAATAAATAGATTTTAATGAAATATTAATAAGATATATTCTGACAAAATATGTAAGAAGATAACTGCAACTCCCAGTGCAGCAATCTTGTATATTTGTATCATTTGTTTTTACAATGAAAAATGTTATGTAAATAAAAATATCAAAATGTGAAAGCGATCAAAATGCTTGCAACTTTGTAATTTATTAGTAATACAATTACAAAGATTTTATATTTAATCCTCGAAACGATTGTTTTCTAGATTTAGTTATTATTTGACATTGTATGTATATCAAAACTCAATCTGTTTTAGAAGAATTAAAAAGAAATAAAGAGAAAAAAAACAACATTCACTCGGATTCAATTTATTGTCTGAAACAAAATGTGCGAAGTGTAATAAACCAATTTTCCGACGTTAAAACTTTCTAAATCAAATTAAAAACATTGCATTATTTCACGAAGGAAAAAACTTCTAAATGCAATATCAAGTTTTTTTAGTCGGACTCATGATTTCTATATTATTATTAGATTCTGCGTTTATGTCAAAATATAAAACTTATCAGCATTACAAATATTTTACTTCTAAAATATTTCTATAATTATTATGTTATACATATAGATACACATCAAAGATCAGATTCAAAATGTAAAATATAAAGAAAAAGTTATTAACATTGAAAAGTAGAATACACGTTTAATTATACATATAAAATATATATAAAATTATATATAAAATTTTAAATATTTGTACATACATATATGTATAGCAAAAATTCTAAACATGTACTTAAAATTTACATGTATATAATATTATACATATTTAAAATTTTTAAATTTCTGCAAAATTAAATTGTGTTTTGTAATTTCTCTATTCAGGTAACAAATGCACATTATTTGACATCAAAATAAAGTCATTTAGTGTGCTTACTGCTTAAATATACATATACATTGTTGAAATTATATAAATTAATTAAATATAAATGCATAATATATATATATATATATATATATATATATTTATATATATGCAAAGTTTTATTTATTAATAATATAGCTACATATAACATATAAGTGTAAGATACTGAAGAAATTGAAGTAATTAAATTAAAAATTATACATACATAAATTTATACATATATAAATTATTAAAATTCTTATAAGCAAAGATAAAGTTTCGTGATTGTTCAAAGGTAAAATCAAAGATTACCACGGCGTTAATATCGTATTAGTGATACACACTTTTTTTATTCTACAACAAAAATTATACATTATATGATACAAAAATGCGATTGACATAATAATCCACCCATTCGTTCGAGATCGCGAGATTTTTGATCGAAGTTTTTGAGCAATTGATTCACAAATCTGAAATTGTGATTCTTCAAAGATAGACCACTTGAAAGACTATTTAAATTAGAAAAAAATATATAAAATTGATAGTTATTTACATTAGAAGTTCCATTTTAATATCTCCAAAAATAAGACGTGCTCCGATAAACCTTAAAACCTATATATATTTTATTGTCCGTATCTCTAGATACAAAAGCATTATTAAAGCATCGGTATGTAAAATTAGACAAAAGAAGATAAAGGAAGTAATCGTGGTATACTTACCACGGGATACTCATAGCAATTATCAAGCAAGCTTAAAGCCATTTTCTTTGGATTCATTATTTTAGCTATCAACGTTTCTCTTCCGCGCATCTGATATTGTTTTTATTTTCTAAATAAAAGAAGCTTTATTTTAAATTTAGTATTTAAGTTATGTAATAAAATTCGAACAAATAGAATGAATAATAGAATAGTCATAGCACTCACAGACACGCATTTATCTATCAAGATTATTTAAACAATATAAAAGAAACTTTTTTATAAACATTTCATATAATATAAATAATAATAGTTTATTAAATATTTTTAAGTAATAAACATATTAGTTTGATAAATAATTCTGAAAAATTTATAATTAAAATTTTTTAAAATAATATTTGTGAAAATAGTCGATTTTTCGTTGAAAAAAGAATAAATGATCGAAATTTGGAAAAAATATTTCTAGCAAACAGAAAACACATATTGGTTGAACTAAGAAAAGTCAAGTCACAAAACTATAAGCATATTTACTCTGACAGACAGAAAGGCAAAACACATATTGGTGGAACTGAGAAAAGTCAAGTCACAAAACTATAAACACATTTACTCTGACAGACAGAAAGGCAAAACACATATTGGTGGAACTGAGAAAAGTCAAGTTACAAAACTATAAACACCTTTACTCTTTAAATAAACGACGAGAAATTTTCTAGATATTTAATTGTTGCAATATGCAATACTAAATATTATGTACAGTTTTATTTAAAAATATAATAAAAAAAGCAATACCTTTAAAGTTCTTTTTTCGTATATACGTTTCGTTTAATTGACAATTAAGGTTTTTAATCGATTTTAACATTGTACCTACATTACCATATTATTCTATTCAAAAAATGACACTTATGTCATGTATTCATTGTATATTTTTTGTTCCTAATATGCCTACATTTGATATATAGATTTGATTATTGACTTGTTCCGAACACATTTAACGCGTAATTTCGAAAGTTATAATTTCAAAGTGTTTTGCTCGTGTACGCATATACTTACATTATGTACGAATAGCTACAATAATCACTCCTAATGAAAATATTCTCTAAATTTTTAGATAGAATAGAATTAAAATTTTTTTCAACCAATGTTTATATTAATCAAGAAACTCAAGATAAATTTAAAATTTCTTAAAATTTTATGAATTCAGAATAAATTTGGCAGTGTTCAATACACGTAAAATTTGTAACTTCATAAATAGCTAAAACTTTACAAATTGCACTTTATATTAAAACTTATATTTTACTTTACATCTTATCTTCAAAGCTAAACTTACAAAATAATATATTTAAAATATAATTATATTTTAGAAGATTATACTATCTTTATGTATCGATCATGTATATAACGGCAAAAGATAACATTACTGAAGCTTTTAAAAGCGCTTTTGATTGACATATTTTAATTAAATGGTTGTATATTATGTCCATATATTGATATAATTAATTATTGATTTCTCTATAATTCAAATGAATTTTTGAAATATGCTCTTTTGAATATCTTTCTATAACTTTTCATTAGCACCCATGAACGATTGATATTGATACGATTTATAATATTCGTTAAATAACTATCGCAAAATTGTATACTTAGGACACGCGATATTCCTTAGTACCATACATTTAGTGCCGTGATTAGCTTTAAATGATTAATCGCATTAGATACGTCATTTATAATAAAAGTATTAGCTCGCCATCACAGTGATCCACATTTCTGCGTTTCTGTTCGTATTCTCCTCGCGATCTAAAACCGCAATTCAATTCGCAATTATATAATCACAATTAAGCCTACATAATCTTATAAACGTTGTCAATGAATACATGCTGCACATAAAGTTAGTAAACCGATGTCTCAAAAGCGAAGATTATGACAATAGCAAGGCTTTTTTTAAATATGTGTGAATATATTTTTTCGACATATATTATGTAATGTTTTATTAATTTCTCGAGATCTATGAAATGATTGATCTCTAGCTGTTGCTATGTAAAAACAACATTGCTTTTCTTAAAATAACATAATACATATCGTACATTCTGCGAAAAGAATGAGCTTGACGTAGCACAAAATGTTATAATATTTATCATTTTTTTATAATATCTATGATTCGCAATTAGATAATAGATAGATTATCTGCGACGAAGATATAACAAAAATAAATGAAATAAAATGTTCTTTCGTACATTTCGAAGAAACAAGTCATATAATTTACTTATTATTATTAATATTTCAACAAAAAATCTTCATTTTCAAACATGAAAAACATAATTTTTGATTTTTGAATTGTATCTTGCCAAAATTATCAAGATTATCACGCTCAAACAGAGTATATTCTATACACAGCTATAATAAAAGCATGAATGAATATTTAAAGATTACAACGAAAGTGAACACATAGAACTCTCACAATAGTATTTCCCGTTTGAAACTACTACATGGAAGAGATTTTAATTGAGCGAATCTAATTGAAGTCAATATATTATTCAATTTGAGCTATATTAAAATATATATATACGCAATAGTTGCATATACATATATGTTGTAATATTTTAAACTGTAAATTTGATATAAATAATTACACATAAATAGACAAGAAATGATAAAGTTTGCATAATTTACTCAAATCATATATGAAATGAATATGTGTGATAGTTAAAATATCCTACACACACCCTAATTAAATATAGAAGTTTCGACATTGACTTAACTGTCAAAATACAATTTTGCTATAAATGTAAGAATGCGCTAAAGATAAGAAGATGCAAAATAAAATATGCGCAATAGACGAATCGCTTAATTTGTAAAAAAAGGAAGCTTAAAAATTCAATTGCTTAATAATTGAATGTATTCTATCTGCACTGATGTCTGTGGCCATCTCTTCGTTACAATTTATTTCACGTTGTGCGCGTTGAATTCTCCTTTTCAGCGGCACTGAACGTTTTTTACGGTTCTGCCATGTCGGCAAAATTAACGGGATAGACTGCAGTTGCGATTCAAGTAAAAGAGCAGAATGATAGTGGCTGTCTCATTGCGGTCGCGTCATTTTCTTCCTCCTTGCCGTTTCCGATTACTCGGTTTTCCCTTTTCCGTTTAGTATCTCGTCGTTGCTCACTTTCTCCGCGACGCCGTTCGCTCTGGCCGAGTTCTGGATCGACGGTGTTGCGCCGTTGCTTTCCTTCTTCGGGGCGTAAGCATTATTGTAGAAATCCGAGAACAGGAAATAGAAGAACACCGCATTCGGCAAGACGAAAGCTAGCGAAAATTTCGGATAGTCGCAGTCGTAGAACAATAATTGGAGGTTGTGCAGAAAGGCCAGACAGAATTGAGTCTATTGATCAAAAAAAAATTATCGAATTAACATTGTTTATAAATATATGATGGAACCGCTCAAATCAACAGCAGATGTTGAATAAAAGCAATTATTAAAATCGAAAATCGAAATTTTGAAAGCAAATTTTAGTAATACTTTTATTTGATTATTTCTTACCATTTGCAAAGTGGTAATATACTTCTTCCACCAGAGGTACCGCTGAGACAGGCGATGAGGAAGCAACGCTGCCAGTAAATAATAAGTGTACATGATGATGTGCACAAAGCTATTAATGATTCCTGCAAGCGAATACGTATCGAGTCAGTACGTATGATTCTTGATTGTTAAAACTGTGAAAAACGAATGATACTGGAGATAACGCCATCAGAAGAGAATAAAAGCTCGAGTTATGTTAAGTTATGTTATATTAATCCTTACCTATAAAAATACCGTGGCCTCCGGGATAATATTTCGTAGCGCCCCACGATATCATTGGCATCACAGTATGATGGTACATATGAAGAAACGTGATTTGCTTTTCCTTCTTGCGCAATACGAAGAACACCGTGTCGAGGAGCTCCGTGAGTTTCGCCAGAAAATAAAAGTAAACACCTCTTGCGACCTACAACAAACATTGTGCGCAGAGAAGCGCAAAAAAGATATAATTAATTTCAACCGTTCCGCTTCCATCGATGGTTACGCTAGAAAAATTTGATTGCAATATTCCTGTGCATGTTCGTAAACTTTGCGTTCTAGATAGATACGTGTATTTCATACTTATCTATGTGGAACACAATGCTACACTTATCTATGCAGAACGCTTTACTTGTTGCGTGAAAAAAAATCACAAAGCGATAAGTGTGCAATAATCCTTCAAAGTATCATCAAAGACATGTAAAGTGCGAACGTATTTTCGAAAGTGAATCGCGATTGTAACTTAATTAACGCAACAATTTAAGAAATTTATTAATTATATTGTTAATTAGAATGCGACACATTTACGTACTCTCAGAGCGCGAGGATTATACGAAAAGTCCACCGGTTCACATCTCCAATTGTAGTGTTCACTGAGCCATGCGCCGGTTAGGCCTTCCCAAAACAACCACGTGCTAATAATTATCTGTAGAAAATTGTAAACGACTAGAGTATTTTTTAATTTGTATGGCTTTCGATGTTCCATGTATTTCGGTCCCCATGATAATACGAAATAAAGATAGCCAAATATGATACTCATGCCCGGTATGGGTGACGATATAAGAAACCAGTCTCTAGTTCGAGGATCTGAAAAGAAGGAAATAGCAATTAGAAATCGAATAACAATCTTCATTTTGCCTCCAATATGTGGATATCAATGTAACCTTTTTATATATTATTCCAGTATAAATTAAAATAAATTTTAAATTATTCCAGTATAAATTTAAAAAAATTTAAATTATATTATTAATATAATTAAATTTCAAAATTAAAAAGTTTCTGTAAAAGAGGGCAAAAACCTGAATTATTGTTCTTTCAAATATTTCTCTTTTTTTATTATTATATAAGTAATCGACATACACATTACAAAGCACATTCTTTGTTTTTTAATGCTACTTACAAATAATGTAATTGCATGATGATATTGATTCTACTACCTCTGAATTAAATTTCCATAACTATCTATTGTAATATGTGTGTACTTGATACAAGATTAATAAGTTCAAAAGAAATATTACATTATCCTATAGGTTGCGTATTGAAAGTTGAAAATAAAGAATGCTAAAGTAAATAAAATTAATGATATAACTACATGCATTATACAGTATTTATGATTCTGTAATACAATTTAGTTCGAATTTAAAGGTTGTATGCAACGACGAAAAGGGATGTAAAAAAGATATAATCACACCACGAGTAGTAAAATGTAATTATATAGCTTGCGTTGTTGTCATAGTTCTTCCCTTTAAAAAATCTTACAATTCTTTTATCACATTTAATCTAGTGTAAATTTACCAGATAAATCATGGAATAAAAAGTGCCAAACTCGTACTGCTGAATTGTTGTAGATCGTATTCGACATCCTGTCGATCGTCGGCGGCGCGCTGATATTCATTGTAGAAAGTTAGCTGAAAATATCATTTCATTTTATAAATATTAAATTCTCATTTCAAGGACTTATAATATATATAAGTATATTTAAATATATTCTTGCCAACACATATATGTATATATTCAAAAATCTCTGTATAAAATATATATGTATATATTTTATAATTAAATCGATATATATGTATATATTTTATACATAAAATTTTTATTGTCAATAATACTTGTTTAAAATGTTTATGCATCTGTTTTCAAGTTAAATAAAGTGCATAAATACATGTAAGTTTCAGGAATTTTGTATGCAAATCACATCGCATAGACAAATCGTCAAATTTTGTTACAAGCATCACATCTGTGCCGTTTTCATTCGCAAGCAAAATTTACCGAAGAAAAATTCGCAATTTGTCATAAAAAGAAAATCCCACTTTTATATCGTCATTAAAGTCGCGAAGCCCTAATCGAACAGCATGGAATTTTCTTGCGCAAGATGCGCGGTTTGCCGATTGCTGAAATCTACATTCCTCCGATAAATCTGCATACGAACCGGTTCGCACACGTCTGATATGATCCAATGTGGTCACAATAAAAGAAAAAAAAATAAAAGAAAAAAGAGACAGGAAGAACCTGCTCATTTTCGCAGCCTCTAATGACAGATCGAATTGCCATTTGGCATTGCTCAATGGCAATGAGTTACATCGTTAGAAAAGCATATGCAATCGCGAACACTTGGCATGACGGATGCCAATCATGTTAAACTTGTTTCTTTCTTCCGTCATCGTATTAATCCGCGGCAAATTGATTCGACCATGGATTGCATCGATCGGTCTAGGCGTGACAATCTTTTAACACACCGCAGCATCCTTTCCTCCTAAACGAGTAATTTCTTTCAAACTTTCTAGAGAGATATAAAAATGTTTTAAAAAATATATTTTGTTTTAATTAATTAGGCAAATAATATATATTTTGTAAACTTTCTACGTCAATAATTTTACTTCCCCTAAAAAATAAAATGAGACATCCATTGAAGAGTATAAAACCTATTTCGTGTATTTCATTTATTATGATATATTATATTATGGTATTATATATTGTTATTTTATATATTATTATTATATGTTATTATATATATATATATATATATATATATATATATATATATATATTATCCTTCTTATCTTTCCTACATAATTACTATAATTTAATAATACCACATTTCTTCGTGCTCAAATACAATTTTCCATCAAGTGTCGACACACTTTCATACCTGTCCAATGTGCGCGTTCGACTGCTTCTGATTATTAATGTTTTTGGTGTCATTATCTGTCTCGACAAAACGCAACCGCCTTTTCAACTTTCGCTATAAGAATCAAGTAGAAGTGCGCGCGATGAATGATAGATCATAGACCGGACTTTTCACTGGGAGAGTGAGAGTAAAGACCGAAAAAAAGAAAAAAGAGGGAAACCCAACGTGTAATTATGACTAGCGGTTCGACAACGACTAATATGACTTCATCACGCACGAACGATCCCTCGTTAGAAGAAGCTATCCTAAATATACGTGTGCAACGCAGACGATAGGAAGGCGTCGCCATATTTCCTCCTTATCCTCAACCACTTTTTTCATGGTCCAACCGTCTGTGAAATATGCAGATTGTCTACTAAATCACGTAGCGAGAATACGGTTGCTCATAGTCACAAACAAGGATAAAGAGTTTGGCATAATTTTTCCAATTAATTACACACAGCTTCTAAGAACAATTATTCTCACTCGTATTTCGTGAGAGATATAATCATTGATTATATTATTATTTAGTAAAACTATAATGTAACTAAATACAATTTGTCAAATAATTATATAAATATGAAAAACGAAACTATTAGAATAAATAAATACCGAAAGTATTTTGCTGTTTATAAAATTACAATTTTTTTTTTAATCTTTCAAAAATATTTAAGATTATTTCTTGAACATTACCGAAGCTTTAAAACCCAATGTTTGAAGTTTTATACAAATGCTTAAAAAATATATTTTCCACGTTATATTTCCACATTTACATTTTCTTTTTCTTTTCGATGATGCGCAATGATAAATCATTAGTAAAGCGCGCTCTAATCGAAACACTTCGTATTTCAGTTTCAATTTATGCTGATTGTATCCTCAATTTTCAAGGAATCGATTTCTTCATAATTGCACGATGTTTCGTAATAGTTTTCTTCTTAGCTATGTATTAACAGTGTAGTTTTCACATACAACTTTGTATGTTCTTATTCATACACTTCAAACATGATGATTTAACTACTCTGCAGGTTCTCTTACACCGTTTAATGTAAAAATATGATATTCAATCAGTAGTTGATAAATCTCTCTTCATTTTATTTTAATTCATCCGACTGAATGAATAACTCAAATAATGTATCGCTATTGAAGCGAAAAAATCATCACGTGTATAACGTTATATCTTTCAGCATAATCCGAATTTTTCTCGTGATTGCTAAACTCGCGTCTATCTTATATTATTGCTCGTCGAGGAAAGAAGAGTTGCGGCTTACGAAAATCGTAAAATCGCGCGAGCTTTCGTCAAACCGAACATTACATCAATTGTATAATAGGACATTGGATGCAATGTCGTTAAACTGCTCTTACATAACATCTGTCATTTTAGGACATTTTAGATGACCGGTTTCTCGACGCTATCGTCAAAATAGCCATTCATTCAACTTAATTTACGAACTTAACAGTTTAGAGACTTCTCCTCAGTTGTTACATACAATTTAATTTAATGTCTCCTTTTTCGTCTTATAGTTTTCGATATTAAGTAAACTGCTATATTAAGTAAACCGCAAACTGTGAAATAGTTCCTGATTATTAATGTAAGCAATCATTCCTAAGATCAAACAAGCCTATAATTTATAAACATAAAAAGTAATGTCGCAAAAATAATTCTAACTTCAAAATGCAAAATATAAAAAATTTTCATCTAATTATATAAACTTTTGTTTAAACAAGTATTTTATATAGATATGTGTTATGGTATATACTTTCCTATATATATTATATTAATTTATGTGTAAAATATTACATTTAAATTAGATACGCATTTCGCGTTTTTATCACGTTTTACCGAATGTTTTTGCTGAATTTTCCGCATGGTCGATATATTGTTTCATTAGTTTGGTTTCATGGTGAGGCGAATCAAATAATTGATATTGATATTGAATAATTGACACTAACATAAATCGCGAAAACCAAAGGTAATTTTCGAAAATAAATAAAAAATTAAAAAAAGATCGTTTTGATTAAACGACAATTAATTTGCACGGATTTGCAGTCGGTCAACGTAAGAATATACTTTTATTCTATTCATTTTGCAAGAATTTACAAATGTTTTCAATTACTTTCTGCGTGTATGTGTAATGGCTAAATGTTTTATACATTAATTCAAATGACACATTTTTCTCTAACTCGTTTTCTCAATCGTTCAAAATGCAAAATTAAAACTGGAAATAATAATAATCGCCAGCACTTTGCGCAACTACATCCAATTATTCTCGTTATTATCGCGTATACGAAAAGGGTACAATGAAATGCCAGTTTGCAACATGCAGTCAGACATCCTCCTATTATCGATGTCTCACATTACGCTTCATTGACACATGAATTATCGACCCGACAGGTTTTACATAATAAACCGCCAAAGAGCTATATATTCCCTACGCCACCGTCACATATATACAGATATATATATACGTTTTCTAGAATGAACGACCGACTTTGTGAAACCGACAATTGCTTCAGGATCATGCAAATGACTGTCAATAAATTCGCTTTGCGAAATGTGCCACCGCCAACCGATTTGTCCTTTTAACGACGCATCATGCTCCCTCCCTTTTTCCTTCTCCTCTCAACCCGTTCGTTTTAGAGCATTCATGTACGTATTTGTACACGCGACCGCATCTCGCGTACATACATCACACGTACGATTCTATTGCCCATCAAGGGTCCATAATGGTCCGACTGCAGTTTCACTTACTGTTGCAACACGTGCTTCTTCGCTGTTTCACTTTTCCCGACATGCACTTGTCTCGATCCCGATCTCTCTGTTTCTCTTTTTCCTTCTTGAACAAGATTATCAATTTAGATTCTGTCGCATCCTCCCAATGCAAGTTGCATCAGTATTATCTGAATCAAGAAAAACATCTAATGGATCATGATAATTTTCTTCATACATAAATCTTCGCTTTCATTTTTCGCGATAATATCTATTTAATTTTTATTTTATGTTTCTACTAATTTTATGTGCGCATATATACGTGTGTATTTTATTTAATATTTATTTATAATACTTGTAAATTTATTTATTGTAATAGCATTAGATGCTTTTTCTTTCGCATAATATCTTATTTTTATGTTCTTTTAATTTCAGTTTTCTTTTTCTTTTTTATCTTACGTGCAATTTTCTTCTTTTTGTGTCTGATTCTAATCATGCTTGTTCAATATAATTTTTATAATTTATTTTGAATACTTCAAAGAATGTTTAATCACATAGAGTGAGATAAACTCATTGATTTAATTATTTCCTTTTTCTCGCTCTATTTCTTCATGTCCGCTTATGACAAGTTCGTTGTAGATATGTTCATTGTAGATATAATGTCTGTTTTCACTCTCTTCCTTGTCGGTACGTTTCAATAATGTACAATTTGAATAATTGCATGTTATACATTCTAAGATCACATTATCTCAACATTCCATCACATATCGATGATAGATAAACTTGAGAGGAAATATATCATATATATTATTATAGTTCACTGATCCGCATCTTGTTGGTGCAAATTGCAAAATCTATTCGTAATTAAGAAGTATTATATTATAAATTTAGAGTACATATCGCGGCTAAGCAAAAAAAAAAAATATGTTTAAACTATGCACACACATTTAATTTCTAAGAATATTTGCAAAACAAAAAGTTTAAAAATAAACAAGCCTCTCTTTTCGCAAGTTTTTTTCCTATTTACTTAT